CATATTGTCTTATGACGCGTGCTCGCATATTCTGGCGCGCTCGAGAGAATCGGACGGTGAACAACTCATCACTGGCATAGCCCTGGTGTCTACGGGGCCAATGAGAAAGCGTCATCCTGACCAATAGCGCTCACATCCCGCATGCTACTCCAGCTGGGGCGGGATCAAGTTCGTCTCTCTAGCGTGGTGCCTCGATGTGAAGTGTGCTGCCATGAGCCACGATCGGTTCGAGTCTTGGGCCGGATGGAGATTGAATTGTGATAGAGGCGGCAGGAACATTGCGTCGCTACTGTGCTGTCACCTTGTCGGGCCTTGTAGAGAGATGTGGTGCGACGTGCATATCGCGCATATAAGCATGGCTGAGGCGACGATCGCAGCATCTTCCTCTGAAGAGACTCTAGTATGAGAAATACTACGTCAGAACATTGAGCAAATCCTGCACCCGCCCTATACTGCAGCCCGTCTTCGCCCACAGTTCTACATAATTGTCCGCGTCGTGAGTAACGTTGGGGCCCTTGCTTAGCTGTGGTTCGTTGACTCGTTAGAAACCCACCAACCAAGCATCAAACTCCGCGAATATATTCTCGTACTGGAATTTGATTCGTCGAACCAGAGCATAGGTCAGTTGCGCATTTGATACAACCTCACGGGCGTTGGTGCCATTGAGAAATAGAGTAATGCTCATCTACCATGGCAGGCCGCACACAGCAACGCCGCGGGAGCCTAAAGACAGGTACCTGCGCCTTCCCCGCCCACCTCTCCCGACCACTCAGACCGCATCTTCGACGGAATCACGACCTCGCCCTCCTCACACAACACGCCCACCGCGACACTCCGAGCAGCCATTGGACGTCGCGCGTCCCTTTCTGCACCGTCCCGCGACCGAGGAACAAGTATTGCCATCCAGACACGCCGCGGACTGACGCAGACCCTGTCCACCGCGTAACACTTGCGCAACCACGCCCAAGCCATGGACCAAGTCAACCTCCAGGGCCACGGCCAGCAGAAGATGCGCCAGCAGCCCCAGCAAGCTGCGCCGCGCAAATACGATGGCCAGCAGGGCAACCCCCTCTATGATCCCACCAACGGTGGCCACTATGGTACGTCTTCCCGCCCCAGCTGCATGCCCACGCGACGCGGCGCTGGCTGTCGCATTCACCATGACATCCTGTGCTAACACCATACCGCAGGCGCATCCGCAGCAGTACGTTATATTCGCGCATCCGCGCCTATGCCAACTTCCAGCCGCTGATATTTGGTCCAGATTGCCGCACAGAACCACGCGCCCGATCCACAGCTGTTCACCGGTTCGTGGCAGAACGTACGCGCTCGCATCTGTCATAGCCACGATCGCACAAACTAACGCCTACAGGTCAACCAAGGACTCACCGGCAACTACCGCGACATCCTCAACACATACTGGCAGCAACAGGTCACGAAGCTCGAGACCGATGAACATGACTACAAGCTTCACCAGCTCCCGCTTGCCCGCATCAAGAAGGTCATGAAGGCCGACCCTGAGGTCAAGATGATCTCAGCCGAAGCCCCCATCCTTTTCGCCAAGGGTTGCGACATCTTCATCACCGAGCTCACAATGCGCGCCTGGATCCACGCCGAGGAGAACAAGCGTCGCACCCTCCAGCGCTCCGACATCGCCTCGGCTTTGTCAAAGTCGGACATGTTCGACTTCCTCATCGACATCGTGCCCCGCGAAGAGGCTCATCCCCACAAGAGGAGTGCCGGCCAGAACGCAGCTGTACAGTCATCAGCAGCTGTGGTCCCTCCCGGGGCTATGCCTCAGCCAGTACATGCTCAACATTCCATGCCACCTCCCGACTATGGCCTGCAGGAGCATCTGGGACAGCAGCAGGAGTACCAGCAACCGCCTATGTACCCGGGTCCGATGCAAGGCGATCCCCGCGCCTATGCGCAGCAGCCCATGTTCGACCCCAGCGTCTACACTCAATACCAGGTGGGCGGCCAGCAACCGCAAATGTACGCAGTTGGTGGTCAGCGTGGGCCTGACCCGAATGCCGATCCCCAGAGCTATGGCCGGTATGAGGCTGACCCCGACGACGCTGAAGGCGAGAGGGTCGACGCTGAGGGTTAGAAACGACCACGTCGTCCTATGTCCTGGAGCCTTCGTCGACGTGAGCTCACCCACTTTGCATGTTAGCATGTTGATGTAGTCTCCAGACCTGTCGGTTTCTTTATGTGGCGTTGAGGGAGTTTGGGGAATGATTGGGTACGGCCGCGGATGCGGATCGGGTAGCTCGTGGCAGCCTTATGAGCAGATATCCATTGATAGAGTAACAGCTTGCACCACCACCATGTTTTCACATCAACAGTGCAGTGAGGTGTGCTTGAGCGCGGAGATGGAAACGACGATGGCAGCATCCCGATCCGCTCCGGCGACTAAACTGGCTGAACATGACGAAGATCAGTCAGGGTCCAAGGTCCACATCGCATCAAATCCTGGAGATCTTCACAGAAAGAGGTGGTACCGAGACAACCCAGGGGTCTCGGAAGCCTATTGGGTGGACTGCTTTCGATGATCAGACAGCCTTGCCAATTATCCCCCATCACTGACAAGAGTGCCCTAGACACTTCGTCAGCGGCCGAAGTACTAGTTACCGTACGCGGGCTAAAAACCATCTTCTCCAGTCTATGGATCCGTACCTGCGTCACAACTAGTGGGCATCCGACCTGCTCCGACTGCTCATGGCACCGAGGCTCGCTGCACATGCTTGGCTAACACAGCGATACCTAGGTAGCATGAGAATGCATTTTTAAATCTCAAGACCAACCGTTGAGTTCGTATATGGAGCAGCCTGGATTCCACTACCAAGCCCTCAACAAGCACTCACGAAACTAACACTGTCACAAAGCTAGCCAGACTGTGCTGGGGGCATTAGACGGCCATTAGCTTGAAGCGTTTCCCAGACATACTCCCGCCGGTACCCCGCCAGGTCCGTGCTCCACCCCACCTTCCTGGATCCAACAGAACGGGCGCGTGGTGCAGCTCCTACCCTACTTTACTTCAAGCCACCTCCTTCTGTCTTCTTTTCTCTCACCGACTCTTCAACTCCTCTCTCAATCTCTCTTCTCAACTACCACTTTTCAACGCGTCTCCCTTTAACAAACTCACATCACAATGGTCAAAGCCGTAGTAGCCGGAGCCGCAGGAGGCATTGGACAGGTACGAGCTCGAGAGTACCTCAGGGACTTGTCCCTCTACATTGCATCCGAAACTGACTGAAATAACCTCGACAGCCCCTCTCTCTGCTCCTCAAGTCCTGCCAACACGTCACTGAGCTCGCCCTCTACGATGTCGTCAACACACCAGGTGTCGCTGCCGATCTCTCGCACATCTCGACCCCAGCAGTATGAGCTAACCCTAGCCCCGCATATGCATGGAGATACTGAAGGTGGACAGGCTGTCACAGGTTTCCTGCCAAAGGAGGACGGTATGCAAAAGGCCCTCACCGGCGCTGATGTCGTTGTCATCCCTGCTGGTATTCCCCGTAAGTCGAACTCACACTGTTGTTGTGGCACCAAAACCTAACGAATACTCAGGCAAGCCGGGTATGACCCGTGACGATCTCTTCAAGATCAACGCCGGTATCGTTCAGGGCCTCATCGAGGGTGTTGCCAAGTACTGCCCCAAGGCATTCGTCCTCGTCATCTCCAACCCCGTCAACTCGACCGTTCCCATCGCCGCCGAGGTCCTCAAGAAGGCAGGCGTCTTCGACCCCAAGAGGCTCTTCGGTGTCACCACCCTTGATGTCGTCCGCGCTGAGACCTTTGTCGCTGAGATCACCGGCGAGAAGAACCCCGGCAACCTGAACATTCCCGTCATTGGCGGTCACTCCGGCGAGACCATCGTACCTCTATTCAGCCAGTCAAAGCCGAGCGTAAACATCCCGGCTGAAAAGATGGAGGCTCTTGTCAAGCGCGTCCAATTCGGTGGTGACGAGGTTGTTCAGGCAAAGGAGGGCGCTGGATCCGCTACTCTGTCCATGGCCTACGCCGGATACCGGTATGTTGCATACTTGCTACCAAAGTGCATTAGCTAACTGCGAACAGCTTCGCCGAGAAGGTCATCAAGGCCTCCAAGGGCGAGAAGGGCATCGTAGAGCCCAGCTACGTCTACCTCCCTGGTGTTGAGGGCGGAGATGCCATCTCCAAGGCCACTGGACTTGAGTTCTTCTCCGTGCCCATCGAGCTCGGCCCCAACGGTGCCGAGAAGGCCATCGACGTTGTCAGCAGCGCCAACGACCAAGAGAAGAAGCTTCTCCAGGCCTGCTACGACGGCCTGAAGGGCAACATCAGCAAGGGCGTCGAGTTCGTCGCCAACCCTCCGGCTAAGTGAGTGTACCCGGATGTCGGTACAGCTCCTACACAAACTCACATGCGCCTGTCTGTAGATAGACTATGAGGCGTCATGTTGAGCATGAGAGATGACACTACGAGAACGTGCCTTGGGATATGCATGAATCTATGCCGATCTGAGCTAAAATATCAATGTTCGCACGACACAATACCATGACCCATTCCAAGTGACGTGCGTTGTTGCCATCATCACTTTCGTATCTATTGAGTTGCATCGAAATATGTGTCGTGTCTATGTATTCCCGACATAACACCAGTTCAGTTGCCAAATGGACGTAGAAATGGCCTGAGAGAGCTATGACATCGTGGACCCTTGCAGAAGAATGATCGGCCGCGGCTCCAGCAGCCCACATCTGTACTCGAACATCAACACCACCACCAATACACCGCAATAAACTCGACACCGCACCGACACCTACCACTGCAAATCCCCGACCTTGTATTGAGTAGCAGACGACGGAATCATTCAAGCTATTGAAAACGCAAACACCCGCCGGCACACCCTCACACCACATCGGAGCGCGCATCTTCGTCGCGCACAAACTCGCAACCACTACCATTGCCTGTAGCACGACTGAGGACGCAGATACCCTAAACCTCCGCCCAATATGGCGCAAGCCAACCCCTCTGCACCGAACGAGCCCACCACATCCTACGTCGACCCCACGTTCTCCTTAGTCAACACATCATGTCTTGATCTCCTGCTTATAGAGCTTGTACCCATGGCATATCGCATAACAGCCGATCTCGCCGCCCGGGAAGAGGAGTGGATACATGGGTCATCAGCCACAAAGCCAAAGCGACTATCGGGTACAAGCAACGACGCGTCAAGCACAGCGGCGGGCACAGCAAGAGGGACAGAAGGCGGGCCAGTAGGCGGAGGAGGCACTGCGACAGTCGACGAGGAAGAAGCACGAGAGGCTGTGTTCCATCGATTAGAGAATCTCGGGTATAGGGTTGGGCTGGGTGTTGTCGAACGGTACTTCTACTCTCGACGCATGATTGAGCCCCCAAGACCATGGCTAACATTTGACACAGATTCTCCCGAGACGCGCCCCGACCCACCACACCTCTCGATTGCATAAAGTTCCTATGCAAAGACCTATGGACACTCCTCTTCCGAAAGCAGATCGACAACCTCAAGACCAACCACCGCGGCATCTACGTCCTTACAGACAATACATTCAAACCTCTCGGCCGCATGTCATTCGATACAAAGAAATACGACGCCGCTATGCAAGCCGCGCTGGTAGCACAAACAGGCGATGTAGCGCTCGGACGGGACGCAAATAGCCAGGCAAGGGTCCAGCCCTTTCTATACTTTCCAGCCGGTCTGATAAGAGGATGTCTTGCAAGTTTGGGCATACAAGCAACAGTTACAGCGGAAAGTGCTGCACTGCCTGGAGCTACGTTCCAGATCAGAACTGCTGGTGCGAAGACCTGAGAGAGGAGGGTGGTACATAATCCGATTTTCAGCAGCATTGCGCGGCGTCTCTAGAAAGAATCAAGCAGCCGCCGTTGCACATATACAGATAATTCAAAGGTCTTTACTCGGAGAGTGAAGACGCAGACTGTGGCAGCAAACCTATACCCACACTGCGCCAAGGACAATGGTCTGATTAATACTAGTACGAATGGCGGCGGGACGATAAAGCATCGCTACTTGCAATACCCAGACAACTAGTTCATTCCATTACTGGCTATCTCTTTCCAACGATCCGGAGTATGAGAGCTTGATGAGACAGCACGATAGTAAGATGATATGCTCGCACTCGGTTCGCAAAGCTTCGAGTGCTTGGGTGCAGGCACGATTACCTTTCTATATCAACAAGTCCAATCCACCTTAGCAACCACGATATATTGCAATCTCCAAATTCGCTTATCGCGACTCCAATTGGAGCCGGCAAGTCTCTCCAAGTCTTCACCCTGGTTCATTCGTCGTTCGCGGGGTAGATTGCTAACCGAGCAGGGGGTTTATCAACGTTCAGCAAACCGTTTTCGGCAGCTGCGTTCTTTCCTTGAACATGACATCACGGCCTTAGCAACAAGCCTCTGTCAGCGGCTGGCCTACTGCTAGTACGTCTCTTATCTGAACTTGTAAACGATTCGAGATGAGTTTGCGCTACAACACCAAGTGTCGCCTAAGAACGGAATGAACGCGTCCAACCCCATCGATCATCCGTCAGTACATGTGGAGATTCATCAACCCTAGCTTATCGCACGCGACGCCCATGTCATACCATCAGATCGTCGCTGCACTTACCATCCCGTGTAACGACTTTCCCCTATCACACCAATGGACTCTCAGTATCGCGTCGTGCAATCGCCGCGGAAACGCCGTTGGCCCCCGGCGGCGAACTACTCCTTGAGCATCACAGTAGTATCTCGACTTACCCTGCTCGGTAATTGGAGTCGGAGCCGTAGTCGGAGTCTTCACAACATGTGTTAATATAACCGACCGACCTTCTCGCAAAGGATGCGTCTGAGAACTTTCAACTTTTGACGAGTCTGTTAGATCTCACCATGTCAGAGACAGCGAAAGTACCTCTCCCAGTGGGAGCCGGTTATGGTATGTTTATCCTCCACCCCTGATCAATTCTCGTAGCTAAATGATCTAGGCGTCGTTGTCGGCATCGGTTTCTTCTTCGCCTTCCTTATGATGGGAATCTCATACCTCCAAAACCGATACACACGCTACTCGACCCAGTCATCCGAGGAGTTCAACACAGCTTCCCGCTCCGTCAAACCCGGTCTAATCGCCTCCGGCATCGTCTCAGCATGGACGTGGGCAGCAACGCTCCTCCAATCCTCCACAGTCGCTTATCAGTATGGCGTCGCTGGGCCGTTCTGGTATGCCGCCGGTGCTACGGTGCAGATCCTCATGTTCTCGATCCTGGCATGCAAAGTCAAGCAGAACGCACCGAGGTGTCACACGTACCTTGAGATTATCAAAGCGCGATATGGCACGTTTGCGCATTTGGTGTTTATGGTGTTTGCGATGGTGACGAATATTTTGGTTGGCAGCCAGCTTTTGCTGGGTGGAAGTGCGGTTGTCACGAGCTTGACGGGTATGCCGGTGTATGCTGCTGTCTTCTTGATTCCAGTTGGTAAGTAAGACACGAGAGATGAGTCGCGGGATACTGACAAAAGTAGGTGTGTGTGCCTATGTAATCCTCGGTGGTCTGCGAGCGACTTTCATCTGCGATTACAGCCACACTTTGATCCTGATGATCATTATCCTTTACTTCATGTTCAACGCGTATGCCGTCAGTCCGCTGATCGGCTCACCCGGCGAGATGTACGAGTTGCTCAAGAAAGCTGGGGCTCAGCGACCTGTTGCAGGTAACGAGGACGGGTCATATGTGACGCTGAAGTCAAACTTTGGTTTGATCTTTGGTGTCATTCAGTTGTGCTCTGGATCCGGAACTGTCTTTCTCGACCAGGCCTACTGGCAGCGCGCGATCGCTTCGAAGCCTTCGACTGCCGTACGCGCATATCTCCTAGGAGGGATCGCTTGGTTCGCTATTCCTTTCGGATTCTCGACGACGCTTGGTCTGGCGGCTGTGGCACTCACCGATAACCCTCGATTTCCGACGTACCCTGAGGTGCCTACTTCTGGACAGATCTCGTCTGGTCTGGCTGCCGCCTTTGCTGCGGAGACATTGATGGGCCAAGGAGGTGCCGTTGCGCTACTGGTGGTTCTCTTCATGGCAGTCACGTCCTGCGCATCTGCGGAACTCATCGCTGTCTCCTCGCTCCTTACGTTCGACGTTTACAAGGCATACATATCGCCCAAGGCAACACCAAAGCAGCTGGTGTTTGTTTCGCACATCATGATTTGCGTCTTTGGGTTGACAATGTCTGTGTTTGCGTGTATTTGGAACGCGGCTTCGATCGACTTGGGATGGTTGTTCCTGTGAGTCCAACTCAACATCATGGCATTGCTACTTACTGATTATTTATAGCGTTATGGGTCTGCTCATCGGCGGCGCTGTCTTCCCAACAGCCTTCTCCATACTATGGCGAAAGCAAACCAAAGTTGCTGCTATATCAGGTTGTCTATCTGGCCTTGCCGCAGGTCTTACCGCATGGCTAGGTACAGCCAAGAGCTATTATGGCGAGATCACGGTAGAAACGACCGGCATGTCTTATCCCACACTCGCCGGTAATCTAGCAGCCATTATGACCGGCCTCATCGTAACAACAACAATCACACTGATCAAGCCCGACAACTTTGACTGGGAAATCACGCGCGCCATCAACGCCGTCGAGCTGGATGGCGTAAACGACGACAACACCCCCAGAGAAAGTTCAACCCCCGAACTCTCCGATTCTGGCGAGAAGAAGATTGCAACAGACGCTCCAACGCAACCCGAAGCAATCGCAACGGCAGCAGAACTCCCACCTCATCTCGCCCCCACACAAGAAGAGCCCGACGACCCATCAACACTCCGCCGCGCTTTCAAACTCGCCTGCATCTCCGCCTTCCTCTTGACCTTTATCCTCGACTTCCTTCTTCCGATGCCCATGTTCTTCTCGCACTACATCTTTTCCAAAGGCTTCTTTACGGCATGGGTGGTTGTAAGCTTTATTTGGGTGTTTGCTAGTAGCGCAATTAGTTGTTTGTTGCCGATTTGGGAGACGAGGGGCAGTTTTGGGACGCTGTTTCGGAAGATGGGTGCGGATTTTAGGGGGAAGAAATGATGTGACAGGAGGGGAAGGGGTAGATTGTAATGTTGTTAGACATAGAGTACAGCGGAAGAGACTGCGGGTTGTGTTGTGTCAAAGCATTTGAGTTTAACGCATGGCGTGTTTGGATGTGATGTTCGCGGTCACTATGCCGACTAACTTGGAGGCTAAAAAGTGAGCCTCAGCAATTACCTTCATTCCTACCGCTCGCTGCTCCGCTAGTTATCCAGACAAGATCTCTGCACGAACCATCATGACCACCCCGCAATATCTCAAAGTCGTCACCACGATCATCTCTTACACCTTCATCTTATCCATGACACGAATATACTCCCCCAGACCTACAAGCCAAGTACTAAACAGCAACACCAAAGACCAGCATCTGACATCACTCCCAATAGATCAACCCATAACCTCAAGACTCATAAAGGTAACCCTTGGCCTACAGCTTCGCTCCCACCATTCCCATGACCGGCGTGTCGAGCATGTGTATGCACAGTCCGGATAGCCATCGAGAATTTTCCTGGTGCCAGCTACGATATTCCGAAGCGAAGACGAAGCGGTGGATTTGATCGATAAGGCTTGCTTAGCAGAGCACAGAGCGCTGGATCTGGCGTGAGTACTGATCGCTACGATGATGTTCGTACGTCTTTTTGGGGTGGTTCAATATGACTTGTCCTTATGTGGGTTACAGGGTGTGTGTCCGTATTCGTGCAGGGTGCGTAGGGAGGGGGCGGCGCCGTTGCGGGAGCC